CACTGATGATTTGAACTAAAATGTCTTAGAGACCATCTGGCCCATACCATTTTCTTTATGGATGAGGGCCAGAGTTAGGAAAAGACTCACCCAAAGTCACAGAGTGAATTCATTGCAGGATCGCAACGGAACAAAGGGGATGAGACCCTATATAAGCAGGGACACTTTCAGGGCAAGGCATGTAGCTTACTGACCACATCTGCACTGCCTTGCCCTGTTTCCCTGAGTCTCTGATTCCAAGCTAGTGTTTGGCAAAGGTTGACTGAATTGGGACAGAGCTCTGGATTGCTAAGAAATGAAATGGGAGGGCAACTGGGGCTTCTGCCAGGCATAGGCTTGCCTGGACTGGCTGGGAATGGCTGTAGGTGCTCCAGGTGGTAGTTTTAGACCTACTGAGCATGGAGCGCTCTTGGAGAGGAAGACTTTAGGAACTGACATTCAGAAGTGCTACATGTTAATTTGTGCTCCCGATGGAGCAGCCTGCAAGGAATACCCACCTCTGGAGCTCTTTCTCTGATTACCTGGGAAAGAAAAAGAAAGATGCAATTGAAAGCCTGTGGTATCCTGAACAATACTTCAAGAAGTTAGCATCTCCTTGGCGCAGAAGAGATTTTTAAGTCAATATGCAACTAATAAAAACCTAATCTGTGGAAAAAAGGGAAGGGATAAATGGATAAAGTAGGAAAGGGGCTCTGGTGTTTTAAAATGATTTAATTCTCTTTATTGAGTGGGCTAATAAGAAACAGTAATTAACTGGAGATTTCACAGAGCAAGGGGGTCATTTTACATAAGAACAGAGGCTAGAGATGGAAATAATTTGTCCATAACTATAAAAGAGTTGCTGGGTTAAATAGGTAAAACTTTGAGGGCTCAGATACCTGCCACTGTACAATACACTTGAAAACAAACTCAAATTCTTACTAAACTTAATTTAAATTAACTTCTTTAGAAAAGGATAAAGGCCTTTTTGAGGTTGGAAGCCACCAGATAAGAAAACAATTAAGTTGGATTTGGAGGTAGCAAAGAAGTTGCAATGAGCTCACTAGTCAGTCTATCATAAGGGTATACACTTGTCCCTCAATGTTTGTGGGGGGTTGGTTTCAGAACCCTTGCAGATACCAAAAATCTGAGGATGCCCAAATCCTTAAACGGCATAGTATTTGCAGATAACCTAGGCATGTCTTCCCCTATGCAGCACTCTAAATTGTCTCTGGAGTACTTGCGATACCTAAGACAATGAAAATGCTATGTAAGTAGTTGTTATACTGTACTTTTAAAAATTTGTATTGTCATTATTATTGTATTGTTATTTTTATCATTTTATTTTTCTCTAAATATTTTTGATCCACAGTTGGTTGAATCTGCTGATGTGGAACCTGCAGATACGGAGGCCTGGCTGCATGTACATCCTGGCTTTCTCAGACTTACTATACCTGGATCTATGCCAGGGATTCTCAATGTGGGTACTATTAACCTTTTGGGAGGGATCATTCTTTGTTGTGGGAGGCTGTCCTGTACTTTGTAGGATGTTTAGCAGCATCCAAGGCCCCTATCCACTGGACACCAGAGCCACTCCTCAGCCCTGCCAGTTGTGACAATAAAAATGTCTCCTGATACTGTCCCTGGGGGCAAAATTGCCCCTGGTTGATAACTACTGATCTGTTATAGTTTGCTGGATTTTGTTGAGAAGTAAGTGGTGAAAGCATATGATCAACTGAGATAGTTTCAATTAAAGGCCAGTTTGAGAAAGTCTAGGATAGATGGATTCATTTTTCATTGAAAATTTGCATGCTGCTCCACATACCATATTTTACTCTTGTTTTATTCAGACTTGGTAAATCTCACAATCCTTGTGTGCTACACTGAGAACAGAGGTAGAGCCTATCTGTTCAGGTGTTCTGATTTGCCAAGACTCAGATGATGCTCTCTCTGACCCTAGCAGAATGGCAGCTTCTTAACCTTGTGTGATGGCTTAGTTACCAGTTTGGATGTGTTTGTGGATCCAGGGAAGCACTTTACTAAGGTCCGTGAAGATCCCAGGGGATCCTTGATCATTTTTCCTCACATTGTTTCTCCAGCCTCGACCACAGCCCAAACCCCAGGAAGTCACACCAGCCAGAGTCCAGGCCCCCTTTTTATTCCGGCACATGAGTGAACCTCCTGAATCTCCCTGCAGAGGGAAAAAGCCTCTGTTAGCACCACTGTCAGTGTCTATGCCCCAAAGTGCTCACTTTTTCCTCACAACGATGCTGGAGGAGGATCAATGTCATTTCTTCACTTCTAATAATTTAGACTCAGGGTCCTGT